CAATTATTGGATTTAATGTAAAGTGATTTTGGAGAATGCTTATATCGTGCCAAATATCTCTGTACATTATGCCGCATATATTTCTAAAAACTGAAGTGAATACGAAATCCCATGGAATATTCATCAATGATGACCCAAGAGATTAAGTATCTGCAGATGGATTTAGAGGAGACAACCTAATGTGAAGAGAAGACACTGAGCTCTAAAAAGCGAAAGGCACAGAGACTTAGAGAAGTCTGCGTTCCCCGCAGGTGTGATGAGAAAATTAAGACCAGTGAAAGGGCAGTCGGCATATAGAAAGTTTGCTTCATCGACGGTTCAACACTACTAATTGGATTAGGTGTCGGCCTTGTTGCTTGTGATATTTTATATTTTTTAAAATATATAGCTAAAACTAGATATTAATTTTACTTTATTATCATTATTATATTTCTTTTTCTATATGGTTTTTTCCACCGGGACCTGTAGAAATTTATATTTATTATTATTGTATAATGACTATTAACTAATATCTTTACCTATTCATTAGTTTCCCCCCTCTTCCTAGGAGGATAGTTCAGTATTCCCCAGTGTAGAAACCAGAAATTTTTCTGTACATTATTTAGAACTGTCATGAGTGTAAATTAGCTAAGTTTGGCCATGTACATATATCTTATGTTGATGACTTTGGCGTCTGAAATCTGAGTTCATGCTGTTGAATTTTTAGGTTTTATTTATCAGTAATTGGTCCTTTGATTACATTTCAGCACAAAAATTGAATGGACTTGTAACTGAGTTGTGCAAATTTTGCTCAAAAAAATTTCAACACAAAAAAATGCTCAAAAAAAAAGAAGTTTTGAAAGCCCCGCCTATAAAAATATCAAAAAACTCCCAAAAAATATTATTAACGGTCACGCCCCTAACTAGCTATATTAAGAATGGCAACTGACTACCCGTTTAATTAAGGGCGGGCAAAATCTGCCCATTTAAAAATACATTAAAATGGGTCATAAAGGGGTACATATGAGTAAACTATGCAACCGCCATTCTATGACCGCCCATTAATACCCAAACCCACCCATTAACACCCGTTCAAACCAAACAAATACGCATTCTATTTCAGTAAACCATTTATGGTATTGGGATGATAGTAAAAAGCAACTAAAAGCCAAGATAACTTATAATCTTCTAAACATAAGTCTTCCCAAACTCCCTCTATATCTAACAAGGATATAGTTAATTGCAACAAAAAACTATTTTAAAGATTGTTCGTGTATAAACTAAAATTGAATAATAGCTTCCATATAATTACTCTATATTAAGGTGGTTTCTTGGAAAACACTTAAGAGTTCCTATGTTTTTTAGAAAGCAACCAAAGGACGCTTGAGATCAAATTAGAAAAGTTATTGGCTTGGATTTTTAACTTGGCATTCTGATAGTGTTCTGACTTCCTCTTGTTTCTTTGATATAAATATTTGGCTAAATATCATATAAAACCCTTAACTTTGATGATTATTAGATAACTCTTCATAACTTTCAAAATATCAGAAAACCTTTCTAAGTTCAAGCGTCATTTGAAAAACCTTTATGATTTTATTAGAAAACCTCCTAAAAGTTAAACCTCAAATTTTATTGGAAAAAAATAGTCCCGAAGTGATTCTATCCACTTATGTGCAAAATTGAGGTTAACGTTGTCAGTTTTTTTTATGGTAAAAGGGAGTTTTTTTTCTTATAAATGCTACACTTTTTTTTTTTTTTGGGTGCGGGAGGGTGGGGGGGGATATTGTCCAAAGTTAAGTGGGGTTTTATGAAATTTAGCGTAAATATTTTGCTCCATAGCTTTCATAACAAATATTTGATTCCTTGTGTAGTTTATATACCTACTGCTGATATTGTGGGAGACTTTACCCCATCTATATCGGTATGCTATATCCTCAAAATATATTGCATTGCAATGTAATAAAAGATTGAGTTAATTTTAGAAAATCCCCTTAACTTTAGATGGTGTTGCATTAAACTCCCAGAAATTCTTTTTATTCCACTAAAGCTCCTGAATTTTAGGGCTTATTTCACATAACTCCACTGTATTTTTTATTCCCAAAAAAAGCTCACCTTCAAATTTCACCCTGTCAAACTATAGAACTATCAAGTATCAACTCTAATTCGTCACGTGCCAAACATGTGATAAAGAAAGACAAAAATTCATATTCAAGTCCAAAAGAGATACCTTTAAATTAAAAAGGACAAGATAATAAGTTTTTTTTTCGGAGTGATAGATTATTTTCTTTTCTTTTTTTTCTTTTTTTTTGTTCACATGCCTGTTACATAACATGCTAGAGTTGATTGTGCCAGCTATGGAGAGTTATTAGGTCTAGATTTCACTCTGTGGAGCGCATCCGTATTAATCTAATTTCCTGAAGTACCCGAGACTATGCGTGTTGTGTTGGTCGGTGGGTACGGGTGGGTGGGTGGGTGGGTGGGATTGGGGGGT